GGATGCCACCCGCCATAAAACATGAAGAAGAAGAAGAAGAAGAGTAATGTTCGCGCTGCGCTGTTGTAACTGATCAGCGCTGCGCTGTCAGTTCGGTGGCGCTAGTAAACACGTCCTCTCTGCGCTGTCGAGTCGGTCGCGCCGCTCGGTCCATTGAGCTGCGCCTATGACAGGTCAGCGCGGCGCGAACACTTTAATACCGCGCTGTTTCGTCCCACATTTGGGTTGTTTGGCTTCCCATAGTAGCGGCTCAAAAGCGCTCGTCAATGTCAAAATGTTTGAAATAGCCAATCAAAGTGTAGAAGGCGGGATTTACTGTTCAGAGCTGAGCTGCGCGGCACTTGAATGTGAGCTGAGGTAAGCAGCTAAATATGACAAGACAATAGCAATATTTAACAGTTTACGATAAAAATTATTTAACGACAGACATTAATTTTCAGGGATGCAAACTACTGGCCTTATCGAATTACTCTGATGTTAATGCCATTTAAGTTATTCGTCACAATGTAGCCTACATAGAAACATTAACGTAGCAGTTTTCAGCACACATAAGATAAGAGTGAGTATTTGTATATCTATCCAGGCTTTTTTCCGTAATTTCACATGTCTAAGAAAATGTTTCAGAAAACTCAAAAATATTATTCTGAAACTTACACTAGAACATTGTAAATCTGAAGAATTTCATTTTTAATTGCCGTGATTAGGATATATATTATAATAAAAATATTATTTGCTAATTAGATCACATGCATTATTTTATATACACACTTGCGGTCGAAAGTTTGAAATAATTCAGACTTTGTATTTATTTTTTTGAAAGAAGGCTGAATTTATCTGATCAAAAATACAGTAAAAACACCATTATGAAATATTACATTTAAAAGTGTTTTTTTTATTTAAGACATTTTACAATGTAGTTTATTTCTGTGATCAAAGCTGAATTTGCAGTATACTCCAGTCCTCAGTGTCACATGATCCTTCAGAAATCATTCTAATATGCTGATTTGCTGCTTAATTATTATCAGTTATTATTTGTGCTCAATTATTAATAATGATTTTTATTATTATCACAGTCTTCAGTGTCACATGATCCTTCAGAAATCATTCTAATATGCTGATTTGCTGCTTAATTATTAAGCTCAATTATTAATAATGGTTCTTATTATTTTCAGTGCTGAAAAACTTTTTTTGGAAACTGTGATACTTTAACCTTTTATGGATTATTTGATGAATACAAAGTTAAAGAACAGCATTTATTTGAAATATAAATAATTTGTGATAATTATACATCTCTTACTGTAACTTAAATAAATTTAAAGCAACCTTGTTGAATAAAAGTATTAATATATATATTTATATATATATATATATATATATACAGTATATATATTAATCTTACCCCAGACTGAATGGTAATGTATCACATGTTCCACAAAAATATTGGGCAGCACAACTGTTTTCAACATTAATAATAATTAGAAATGTGTCTTGAGTAGCAAATCAGCATATTAGAATGATTTCTGAAGGATCATGTGACACTGAAGACTGGAGTAATGATGCTGAAAATTCAACTTTAATCACATAAATCAATTACAGTTTAACAGATATTCACATAGAAAAGAGCTATATTAAATTGCAACATTATATATTTCACAATATTACTGTTTACTGTATTTTTCATTATTAAGAATTTTTAGACTCTTTTCCACAATTGGAGCTCTATTCAATAAAATGACAGGAGATGTCAAGCTCCTGCAAAAAGACAAATATAAGACCAATAGAAAGGCACCATAAAAACAGTCCACATTCTGCACTACATCCCAAGTTTTCAGACCAAAGCAAAACATTATTATATGGACTAGTAAAGTATGCCAATCATTCATTAATGTCAATGATAAGCATTTCAATTAAAAAAGAAAAAAGAAAGCATTTATATTTCTATATTATGTTATATTTTATGTTAGTTAGTGTTGTTAAAAACTCTGTGCTCTGTGCATAATGAGCTGGTGGGTTTATGGTGTGGTGGGTCGCTCTGTGCCAGAAAGTCCAGGGCCACTTTTTAGCCCCAGTCGGCCCCTGAGTGGTGCCCATAACTCCCTTGAGCTTTGATCTGGCCCTGTTTCAGTTAAACTGAATACACTGAGTTACCCCAACAAACATAATTTATAAGTGTAAAATCATACAGTAAAAGCTCCTTAAGGTGAAATCTACATGAATTCTCATGTTTTGTAGACAACATATATTTTCAACTGCTCTCAGACAGCAGTAGAGGAGCTGGAGGAAACTACACTGTCAGTTCTGCTGCTCTAAATCACACATGAGTTTATGTGTGCAGAGCAGAGAGAGGAGAACCAGCCTATAAAACAACATTCAGCAACACACAGCCAGTATGGGTCACTGGTGAGTTCAAACAGGATCAGTTTGAATGAGACAGTACTGAAACAAGAATGTATGAGAGTGTGTTGTATGATACAATGAATGATGCATCTAGAGTCATATCAAGAGGAATCAGAGTTTTCTTGGTGTTTTGAGAGCTATGATGTACTATGAAATCACACAGTTTCAGAATTCAAAAATTCATCTCCAATTCGTAAAAGAGGAAATAGTCGTTAAAAACTGAAGCATGACTAGGTACGGAACACAAATGTTACTAATATTATCATTTACATTCTTTTTATTAGTGAACCTGAAGGAAAACAATTAAATAGGCCTAACAAAAAAATGGTTAACCCCTTTAAAAAGGGAGATTTCATGCTTAAATTATTTTAAACATTTTCAAAGAGCTCTAATTGTCTTCTCAGGTGTTTCTCCTCGAGTCTCTCTGATCATCAGTCCCAGCAGAACTCAACACTTCACATCTGTCTCTCTCTCTCTGAGCTGTGAGGACCAGAGTAACTCTGATAGAGGGAGAGTGAGAAGATACACAGAGAGTTGGGGGCTGCAAGATTGTTCATCATCAGTGTGGGGATCACAAACAGGATCTACATGTACATTTAGCTCCACCATCACATCAGACACAGGAGTGTACTGGTGTCAGTCTGAATCTGGAGAGAACTATCATCCTGTTAATATCACTGTACACTGTGAGTCTGTTCTTCTGTATTTATTCACTTAACTGGCAGTTTATAATCAAAGCATAAAGCAGGTTGATTACATGTAAACAAGTGCAGGACGCATCAGTGGTCAAAAAACACTCAGTGGGCATGCAGCCAGTACAATTTTTTTTTTTTTAATTCATCCTGTTAATATCACTGTACACTGTGAGTTTGTTTATGTATTTATTTATTTATTGTCAATTAAACAAGTGCAGGACACATCAGTGGTAAAAAAAAAAAAAAAACACTCAGTGGCAGGCAGTACAAAAAATCTACTTTTATCATAAAACATAAAACCTTTATTTTTTGTTATAATATACTGCAAACACTCAGAGAGAGGAGAGTCACCCAAGAGCTGGATCTCAGTCAGAGGTGAGAGTCAATAGAAACTGAGCTGATTTATTTCTTTTTATTCTCTCGTTCAGATATAATGCTTGATAAAGTGCTTGTGTGTCTGTTTTTCAGTGTCTCATTCAGAATCTCAGATCTCTGTCCTCCACACACTCAGTTCTGTACTGGCAGTTTGTCCATATCTGCTAGTGACAGTTGTGCTGATTTTCAAATGCTGCAGAATGAGAGGTAAAATGTCTGACTAATTTATTAGAAATCTTGCATATCAAATACACATATTCTGTCATGGATAGACATTCACAAAAACAAACCTGTGTGTGTGTGTGTGTGTGTGTGTGTGTGTGTGTGAAATACAGGAGTCACTCCTGATTCACGATGACTAACCTTTAGGCATCTCATGGTTGTTACAGTCAATATGAACCAGAATTACCAGCCCACTTGACTTCCATTGATTTCTTATTTGATTTTATCCATGATGAACTGACTGTAAAAAGTAGATTACATTTTGGAATAGATAAGAATAAGGGTCCATTTTTTGATGTAATATTGACTTTAACCAGAAACATGGATGTTAAACTGTTTAACCCAGGGATTCTCAACGCTGGCCCATACTTATGTCCTTTGCCGGTGGAGTCGCACGGTAGAGTCGATGGTCTTTACACTCTTCAGTCTACACACGACCGCAGCCGCGACCGCTTCCGCGGTAAACTAAGCTTCTTTTTAATTAGTTTAATAAAACTCAAATTGATTTCAGCTGGACACACTTTCCTGTTTATCCCAACAAATGGCCAAGCAAAGTAATATTAGTAATATTTGCCTAATATAATGGATCTTAATTGAGTAAAACTAATAAGCTTAGAGAAAAACATTTAACCCACATTATGAGCAATAGTAGTACTGATGCTTAGCAAACACCACTAATAAAAGTCTGTGCTGAGTGTCATTCTACTTTAAGCATGCACACGTATACACACACAAACACACACCTAATGTGAGTGCCTCTTCACTCACAAAGTGCCTCTTCGTTTTATCTTCCAGTGCTTCCTCTTTCACCCTCATGCTGATGATACACGGGGCAACTTTTTGAGCAATTTTGCCGGGCAACTTTTTTTGAGCAATGTTCCTTGGGCACTTTTCCATTGAGAATGGGTAACTAATTTCAATCTGGATACTTTAGATCAGTCATGGGCCCTGTGTCTCACCTGGTTGCCCGTTGATGGCAACATTGCTCAAAAAGTTGCCCCTTGTATCATCGGCCTCAGTCTCTCAGTTAAATATCATTGTACAATTTAGGGAACGTTTTATGTCTGTTGATGATAATTATGTCCTTAAATTAATTTTCTTTGCAAAATCATAATCAACTAAGGGAAAGCATATTATAATCTCAGACAGATATTTTGTGCACCCTATTTTTCCCTTATATAGTATTATTTGAGTTTCCTTGTTCATTAAACTTCTGTCATGATGTTCCTAAAGATCTGACTGCAGGTTTCAGGAAGTCTTGAGGCTTTAACACAGTCTGTGTCTTTAACCGTCTGTCATCATTCGGTCAGTATGGAGCTCAGTCAACTTCCTCTTGTGCTCTGTGAGTATTATTTTATCTGAATATAGTTCAATGGATGATAATTGGTTTTATATTATGTAAAGGATCAAGTGATTTTGTGTTCCTTATTTATGTCTTTTCTTCTAGTCCATGATATATGAGTGAAAGATGAGCTTGAGAGAGGAAGAGAAAGTTAGTGCTGTTTGTAAAAGATACATTGAGTGTTATGTCAGTCTCTCTGTTCAGTCATTGGAATTTGTGCTGTTTAATGGTGTTTGTAGAATCAGTTCTGTTTGGTTGCTTTTGCACAGTTTACTGTCTGATGCTTTAAGTAAATATTCACTAGTAAGTATGAAGGAAGATTCATAATTCATTCATCTGCTTGTGAACACACTGGTTGCTTCCTTAAACAAGTTCCCTAAACAAGTTCAAGTTCTCTAAATTATAAAATATCAAACAAATTTTTCAGTGCTTATCTGGAAACACCTGTGATTAACTTCTGTAAATCTTCAAATTAGAAAACCTTAGAAACCTTTGAAGAAATAAAACATTTTTGTGTTGTGAAGCTGAGAAATATTTGAGAGTAAAAGTATGGTGTTTCACAAGCAAAGAAAGAAGAATAAATGATATCTGATGTATAATATATATTATCAGTTCCATGTTGACACTGTAATGAGATTTTTGTGTTTTTAGTGCTGATTTCAAACATCCACTCTGGACACACTGAAGGTGAATGAATTTGACTAGTATATTTCATAACATTTCATAACATGATTCTACACTGTTACAAAACAGCTGTAAAAAGGTAATAAACTATTTTGATAATAAATAAAAAAAATGCCAATTTCTTATTAAATATTACATGGTCATAACTTATGAAGAATATGGAAACATAAAATATATTTTAAAATGTACTTTGTCTTGAGTAGTAACTCTAATAAAAACAAGTGTTGCTGTACCTGCAGTAACAAAGTGCTTTGAACTACTACAACACTTTGTTGAATGTTGTGTCTGTAGATGGTGTGACACAGTACGTTGAGCTCTGGGCTATAGACCTAACGGTTTTTGAACCCTTCATTAGGCGATCTTAAAGCTGCAAAAACCTTTAATGTCCTTTAACTCTTTGCATTATGCTGAGTGAAAGCTGAACTTGCTTGTTCCTGTAATCGTTGTCAGCAGCTTATGTCTGTAAAAAAAAAAAAATGCACCAATTATTTACTAGAAAGAGAGATCTTATGCTCAAAATATTTCACAACTCATGCTTTTTTCCAATTTTATATTGACAGACATTCATAAACCAACTCTGACTGTGCACCTTACATAATGCACAAATTTTAAAATGTCATAATTAAAACTGATAGTTTGATCTCTTCATACATGCACAAACACACATTTAACATGTTATTAATGAGTGATTTCTCTATTTTAGATAGATCTATTTCAGAAATAGATTTATTTTATATATAAGTGAGTGTTCATAAGTGAGTGGTAATTCATAAGATGAATGACAAACAATATATATATATATAATATATTATGGAAAATATTTAATGTATTAACAAATATTTATATAAAATATTAAAAAATTTAATGTATTACAGGAACTGCTCATATCTATGACTCTATTGATGCAACAATTAAGAAAAAAGACACAAGCACAGGTAACTAATGATGTAATTTAAAGTGTTTTTAAACTGAAACAGTAGTTCTTTTCTAAAGATATTATAAACTGAATCAATGTTTTTAATCACTGCACATTTACAGAGGAAATCCAGTGTCTTATTACTTTCTTTATTTTTCATTTTAAGACAGCGTAAGTGGACCTTAACTCACCTATGCTGAGATTGAACTCAAATCTACAAAGAAACTGAAGAAAAAGAAAGAAAACAAAGGTAAACCGAAACAAAAAGCTCTGTTCTTATGATTTTATAAATGTATTTATAACAGTGGTGGCTTTGATTTAATTTTTAAATAACTCTAAAAAGTAACAAAATCATGGCAGTATTTTCCTAAACACCTGTGTATAGTTGTGCATTGAGAATCTCATGATCCATAAGTTCATTTTGAGTTCATTTGGTTTAACTTGTAATCATTCTAAAATAAAAGAATTATACATATTAACTGTTGGCATCTTCTAGGGAACAGCATTGAGAGTTATGACAATGTTTACTCTAAACAGAAGTTAGAAACAGATCAAGGTGAGTGTCAAAAAAAATCAGTCATAGTTCACAAGGAGCTACTGAAAACTGCATCTACAAGCATCATTGAGAAGAATGAAATTAAATACTGTATATAAAAATGTGCATTTTGAATTCATTTCTATATTTTCAGGTGCTGGATCTAGTGATGTGACGTATGCTCAGATTAAATAAATGCTCAGATGAGAAACTGTCAATCCCAGGATTCTGATGAGTTTAGGTTGAGAAGGAGTGAAGAATGAACAGGATCATCAATGCTTTATCATCTTTGTGATACTGAGCAACTGATGGCAATAGATTTATCAGCCTTCATGTGCCTCAGAGATTATGCTGGCTGATCTCTGAAAAGCAATGAGCTGATTATAGGAAACAGGAAAGAGTATCATTTAGTTCTGCACAGTGTGTTGTCTTATTGTACTCTAATATGTACTGAGTACATATGTACTGTGTACTGTGTTAATATGAATTTTACACATTGTGTTTTCCACGTGTTTCACAGGTGTATATATGTTATTTGGAAGCTTTTGTTGCAATTAGACTTCTGGGTTAGACTGTACATTTCTTTTGGGCATTCGGAAACAAAGCTTGCATCTTTACAACTGTAATCGTTTGTGTGTATATATGATTTATTAGCTTACACTTTAGTGGACTGAGTGGAGCAGAACGAGCATTTTCATTTCATTCCCATGAAAGCCTAGCTTCACGCTCACGCTGTGAATTGTGGGATTGACAGTGGAACGGAGAAAGTGTTGAGAGAGTACAAAAGTTGAGAAATGCTCAACTTTGTGCAAATAATGAGCAGAAAATGCTGATAGCTGTGAGGTTCAGGTAATGACATTCATCATAAGCGTTTAAAAATATGTGAGTTTCTGCTGGAATTGGTACATCTAAATCATTTCTGATGCAATTGTTGATGAGTCCAGGCCTTTGCAGGTTTGCAACAAATCCTGCCTTCCTTTCCGTATTTTTTTTTTTAATGCACGAGTTTGTGTGTGTGCACGTTTTTCTATACTGGTGGGGATTTAAACCTGAATACACACCAACTCATGGGGACTTCGTGGGGACCTAAATTGAAGTGAAATGTGGCCAAGTATGGTGACCCATACTCGGAATTAGTGCTCTGCATTTGTCCCATCCAAAGACAGCAGTGAACACACACACACCGTGAACACACACCCGGAGCAGTGGGCAGCCATTTTTTGCTGCGGCGCCCGGGGAGCAGTTGGGGGTTCGGTGCCTTGCTCAAGGGCACCTCAGTCATGGTATTGAAGGTGGGAGAGAGTGCTGTACATTCACTCCCCCCACCTACAATCCCTGTCGGTACGAGACTCGAACCCGCAACTTTTGGTTTACGAGTCCGACTCTCTAACCATTAGGCCACGACTTCCCCCTAAAATTGACCTCCTTCAAGCCGGAGTCGAACCAGCGACCTAAGGATTGCCAACTCTCCTACCTACAGTCCTCCGCTCTACCAGCTGAGCTATCGAAGGCAAATTGAGGTCTAGCTTATAAACAAGATTATAAATCATACAGAATTAGTTTTTTTGAGAATGTAAAAATGCAGAATAGTTTTCTGTGAGGAGGATGGGCCCAAAATTGGAATTTTGGATTGAGTGATAATTATCCACGAGTGAACTGCGCTGTTTGCAAATGCCGTAAGTGTGGTAAGTGGCGGGAGTTTAGTGAACCGCTGCATCCTGTTAATGCGTCCTGAGATGAAACGACTGCAGGTTGAATGGGTTCATGTGTTTTAAAAAAAGATTTTAAGAACGCTTTTATGGATGAAGAGCAAAGTTTGTGCTTGGGGAAAAAACATTGTTTGAATAACTTTGTGTCAATACACCTGTGTATTGTGTTGTTGTTCAGAGCCTACAGTTCCTCACAGATTACCATGCTTTTTTTACCATATGTGATCTGTGAAAATGACAATAAAACACTTATGGCGTTTTGTAAGACATAAAGAGACTGCTGAGGGCAGTAAGATAAGGACTGCAGTTCTCTTTTCCCAAAAAAAAAATTCTCCAAGAACTAAAGTATGGGATTATATTAGACTCAAAATGATTAATAGATGCACGCACAATTATCCATGTACTGCATACATTTTATACATGTATCTTACTAACCACAAACAAATGCCTTTCAATTTGAGTCTGTGGAATTCTGGATTAAATTATTGTGCAGCGATTTGTACAAATACAGAC